AGCACGTGGTACCATGCCCAGTTTGCCAAAGAGTTCTATTTGCATTGCACAAGGCCTGCTTATAGCTGAACTGTGGTTCCAAAACCATCTTACTGCCAAAAGAATGCCTACTTTTGTGTGGCCGGGGTCACCACCTTGATGGAATTAAAATTCATTAAGGCCTGGGCATAAATTTCTTAATAATGAGTTGTTTTTCAGGAACTGGCTTTTCAACAATAGACATGGGCAGAAGCTACCCTAGTCAATGACCTTTTTATGTCACAAGCTCAAAATCCCCCCGTGCAGAGTGTGATAACTTCCTTCCAAAAGAAACATGCAACCTGAGAAGGGGCATTGAAATGGGAGATTTGTGTAGGACCAAAAGCCCCCCACTCAATCTTGCTGGTTTATGTGTTTAGCCAGCACTCAGGGTTTTTGTCTCACAAAGCTGAAGAATGAACTTCACAGACAAGGAAGGGTGAGCATAGAGGTAAGAAAGTTCATTAAGCCACAGAGTGAAAGCTCCTTGGGGAAGAGCGGTGTCCCAAGAAGGTTGCCAATGACTCTGCAGTGGGGTTGTTATTCACCAGAGTAAGGTGTTCCCCAATTTCAATGCCAACTTGGTACTGAGCTAATGCAAGTTTACTGGTTCTTTTACGGCCATGTCCTGAGTGAGCAATGGGGTTTGCAGGGCCTTGGTTCTAAAATTCTGGGAATAGTCCTCAAACTGCTGCTTCTCCTCCTGTACCTTCCTTTCCCTTCTGCGTAGGGACTGTTTTGCAGTCCCATTCTAGAACACTTGCTTTGTGGTGAAACAGGAGTGAAAAACATTCTGTGACTAATTTTCTTCCTTTGTTTGATTGTGTGACTCACAATTAGTTCTTAGACCCTTTGCTTACCTGCCTGCCTTATTCCTGACTCCAGATCTGTCAGCATGATGACAGGCTATGCCCAGACTAAAGAACCCTAAATGCCTCCTTGGTGCTCCCTGTCTCCCTTCCCATGCCCTCTGCCGCCAACAACTGATGAGGAGGTAGATCTGAGTACACTGTTCTTGACCTCCTTGCTGGTTGACCACTAAAGTTTTACTTTTTGCAAAAACTGATGCTGGGGCAGAATAGACAGATGAAGAGACAGGGAAATTATATTTTAATCAAGATGAGCCAGGGCAGCTGGCCCCTCCCATCTCCTGTTGGATGCTAAGTGACAGAAACAGGGAGACAAAGAGGAGCTACTTGCTTCTACTTTCCTCCTTGAGATGTTAGGAAGCATCAAGGATCCTTGGAGGGGTGAAGAATAATCGTATATAGGAAAGAGAAGTTCTAAATCATCCTATTGCCCTGATTTAAGGTGTGATTTGGGAGGATGACCTTTTCCTGTCAGCCATCGCAGCCTTCCAGATGCCTTATCTTTGACCAGGTGTATTCCCCCAGCTCTCCACTATAAAACTAAGAGTTGGGGACCACCATTTTGAATTTTTGCTCCCATTTCCTGCATGAGGGTAGGAATGTTTCTCTTTCTCTCCCCATTGTCTATACTTTATCCTACTATGCTAAAATAAATCCTTGCTTAAACTTTCACCTGTGAGACTCCTTGTTGTGAAACACCTTGATACGCTTTTCATGTTTGTGGATCTTAAGAACTGGGAAGCTGTGGAAACCCTCTCATGTGTCCTCTGATGACAGTGCCATGGTGTTGGTTTCTATGTGCATCAGGCAGTGAGTCCTTGCTTGGTAGCATAGTCCACCTGACAACTCCAAACCATGCCACCAGGGACATTTTGGACAAGTCCTGTGCATTATTTATCTCTGTATCCCACTGTCAAATGAATGAAGGAGCAGATCTAGCTTGACCACTCGAGGTAATGTAAACACTTTCTAAGGATTCCCAGACAAAGAAAGCCTGGGTGGGGGTTAAAAACATAAACATGGCTGTAGAATGGTCAAAAGGAGAGTAAAAATGCTTTTCTAAAGCTTCAAGATTTTTCTGACAGAACTAATCCAGACATCATGCTGGAAACTGAGACTATCAGGTAACAATTTTCTGGAATCTAGCAACATCTTGCAAGGTTTGAGAAAAGCTACATTTCCCAGTTTGTCTCCTGACTTGAGCATTTCAATGAACTTATAAAATTTATGATCCCTGGCTGAATTCAGTTTCTAACCACTGAATTTACCTCCATTCTGCATATCTTCCCCCAAATAAGGCTCTTTTTCATACGGAGTACTTACCTGGTTTTTAAATTGAGCCTGTGTTTTCCTGATTTGCAAATCTATTCTACACCCAAATTAAACAATGTTTGCTTCATTTTAACCCTGTTTATGATTTCCTGGTGTACAGGGCTGAGGGAGCAGATGAACTTTGGGAATGTGAAATCTCTTGTCACATCAGGTTTTCCTACCCCTACCCCACATTCAGCTTCTTACATATTAGCAAGTACTGTTGATTTTATTTGGATACCACATGAGAAAACAATTTAAAATTTTCCCCTTAAAGAATTTTGTTCTTCCCACCCTAGGTCCTTCTGTTGTCTTCTTCTCCAGGACTTCCAAACTTCTACTATCAGTAGATTTTAGCAAAACTCTAGTGTGACTTCCTCTCCCTTCAGAAGGCAATTCAAAATTCCCAAGTGCTGTTTGAGCAGACTTCCTGGGAGCTGTCAACCGCTCCTGTGACCCTCCCAGGAGCTGATTCCTAGGATACTTTCTTTACTAAAATCAGGCCACTCTGCTGAGCCCTCCACCAGCTTACCTTTTTCGACCCAACAAGAAATCTAAGGAGTCATATTATTGGTCTCATTTTAGAGATGAGGAAACTGAGGAGGAGAGAAATTAACTTTGCTCACATCTTAGGTTGCTGAACCAGGGTTTGGACTGAGGGACCATGGAGAGATTTTCAAAGTTGGCCAGCTCTCTTTCTAGGAGGCAGTTTTGTTGCTAAGAAATATGTTCTTTGTGTGTTCCTCCAAAAAGGATCTGGTTTATTGTACTGTGCTCTACAGGATCAAGTAGTCATTATAGATAAAAATTGCCAAGCACCCTGAACGCCTCAGAGTAAGGAGTGGAGGGTGGTGGGGAGTGGCAGAACTGGGTGAGCTCAGCCTCCTTTTCCTCCTTGTTCTGGCAGTTCTCCCCTTTCTTCTCCAGATCTGGGAAGTCTTCCTGCTGGTGTAAGGGGGCAAATGGCAGATGTGACTTTGGGAATGTGAGAGGAGCAAATAACAGAAGAATGTGAGGGGAGAACATGGCAGAAGTGAGTTTGTCTTAGATGAGAGACACAGGAAGGCATCCTTAAAAGTAAACATGTAAGGAGAGTAAGGAGCAGGCCTCTCAAGGGGAGAACATGGCAGAGGTACAGCGGACTTTCTCCTAGGTAAGGAGACAGAGAAGCATCTTTGAAAACAAACATCCAAAGAGACGAGAAACAGGCTCCTCAAGGAAAGTAAACCAGCAAAATGTCTCGCCAAGATACCTAAAGGTAGCTGTAAAGTGTAAATGGTGGGCCCCAAGGCCAGGATGAGCTGACCAGACCCTCCTGGAATGTCCAGTTCCATAAGGATGGGGTGACCAGGTGGTTAGGTTCAGTGAGACATCAACTAAAATGACATCCAATCACAAACCAGTTTTCAAGGTAGAATAGGGGACTTAGTCAGACAGAGCCCTTTATCATCTCCTAGATTTCAGCCATTCCTTGGCTTAGCTGTTTTCACTAAATCCTCCTCCCCATAGGGGGCTTTGCTGTCTTTTCAATAAACTGTGTGCTTGCTTTACTCTTAACTCTTGGTCTGTTGTCTTCAATCATTGACTTCGCCAGGACACAAACTTGAGATCAATAATTCAGTATCACTGGGGCAAACAACCACTTGCTCCTTCCCTCCCCAGGAGAGGGGCTGTTGGGTGATGTGGAGGTCTGGCTAAAGTTCGGAAGTCTCCTGGAGAGGGGGGCTTCCCTCTGCTAGGATCACCTTATGTGCCCTTCAAGGGCTTGTTGGTGAAAACGGCAGGCAGAGGTCACAAGGACTTTGTCCAGGTAGGGGAGGTTTGAGTGGCTTTTTCTGTTGCTTCTTGTGAATCAACAGACAGAGGTTTGCATGGTAGGTGGGCAGCCCTGGGAAGGAGGTGGGGTGGGGGTGACTCTCCACCCTTTCCTCACAATGTCCTTGTTTTTATTTGAACAGAGCCCTGATGCTCCTCCCACTTTTCTTGGAAGCCAGCCCCTTCTAGTCTGTATAAGGTCCACACCCCAAGGTGTGAGAATTTTCAGAAGCTGGCCTTCCACTTTGCCCAGGAGCCCAAACTCAGGTAGGTGACCCGGGAGGTTGTGTCAGGAGCAGCTTCTGCTTGAGTGTTGGAGAAGAAGGTGCCAAGGTGGGTGATACTTACACTGAGAAAGCTTGGACTGACTCTCAGGCCAGGCAAACATCACTGGAGGCAGAGAGGTGACAGTGGGGCACAGGAAGGTGCAAAGAACCCAGGGGGCTGGAGAAGAAGATGCCTCAGGTTGAGGGGAGGCGAGCATCTGTCTTTGGAATATAATGGAACTCCTTTATTTCACTGTGTCAGGCACTGCACTGAGTTCCCCTTGTGTTGTAACACAAGACAATGTCAGCCAAGGTCCTGGATGATTCCTGATGATAACTCAGGAATACATTTTCGCTTATGGTTTATTCAAAATGATCTTCTGATGAGCCATCTGAGCAGTGGGTCCAAGTATATTTCATTTTTCAAATGTATTTTAGATGAGAGAAACTCCAGTATTTAAACGTGGCAGTACCAGGATTTTAGGTGGCATTTGGGTTACCTCCTAGAGTTGAGGATAGGTTCTCAAGTACACACACTTGGGAAGAATGTGCGCGCGGCTACTTGGAAAATCTCTCAGGAAGGGAAGCATCCTCCTGGCTGTCCTGAAAGGGAGACTGCGCATGGGAATCAGCAGGTTGGGGCTGGGGATCTCTTTCCGAGGCCTGCTCTTCCCACTTGCTCCTCTTCCCATTCAGGTTCTTTCAACGCAGTGAGGCCACCATGGCTCTAGAGAAGTTCTTTGGCCTGTTCCCACTGCTAGTCCTGGTGCTGCTGGTGCTGGGGTGGGTCCAGCCTTCTTTGGGCAAGGAAACCTCAGCCATGAAGTTCCAGCGACAGCACATGGACTCAGACGGTTCCCCCACCAGCTCCACCTACTGCAACCAAATGATGACACGCCGAAATATGACACAGAGCAGCTGCAAGGCACTGAACACCTTTGTGCATGAGTCCCTGGCAGATGTCCAGGCCGTCTGCTTCCAGGAAAATGTCACCTGCAAGAATGGGCAGACCAACTGCTATAAGAGCACTGCCAGCATGAGCATCACAGAGTGTCGTGTGACAAGTGGCTCCAAATACCCCAACTGTGATTACACGACCACCCAGAAAAAGCAGCACATCATTGTGGCCTGTGAGGGGAGCCCGTATGTGCCAGTCCACTATGACGCTTCTGTGTAGAGCTCCACCCAAGGCCCTTCTCCCTTGACCTTAGCATTTCCATGCCAGCCTCTCTCCTCTTCCTTCCTTGCCCTGAGAGAAATAACTTCAGTTAGAGCTCCTCTCCTGAGTCTTACTCCTGTATGCTTTGGGGGTGAGGACTGGGTTGTGGGGTGGGTTCCACATTAACTCCTTCTCTACTTCTGTCAATAAAACATAATTGCAGTTACCTGATTCCTACAGCATCCCATCTGGGCTCTGTTTCTGTGGTTGCTTCCCAGAAGAGGTAGGAACTGTAAGTTTGGTTGGTTTTGGTAAATGGAGTGATTAAATGCCTTCCCTTCTGATTTTTAGATTGCAGTGAGTTGAGAAAATTCTTTTTTCTTATAGATTCCTTGATGTCGACTATAAAACTGTTAGAGGTGGGCTGTTTTAGATAAAAAGGGGCTACAGCCTGGGACACTGTCATACTGGGTAAACCAACTGAGAGTGAACCTCTAATATGGTAATTCCTTGCTACAGAAGGAAGGAGACCCTGCTTAACATCAGGGCAGGCAGGAGGCATCTATGAAATTACCATTTTTGTGTGTTATGGGGGTTTGAACTCAGGGCCTACACCTTAAGCCACTCCACCTGCCCTTTTTTGTGATTTGTTTTTTCTTTGAGGTAGGATCTAACACCACCCCAAGACAGGGAGACATCATCTGAGGCTCTTTCTCCTTTGTGAGATAGGGTCTCACACACTTTTTGCCTGGGCTGGCTTTGAACCTCGATCTTGATCTCTGCCTCCTGAGTAGCTAGGATTACAGGCTTGAGACACCAGTGCCTGGCTGAAATTAAGATCTTAAATTTCCATTTCCACTACTAAGTCAGAAAAATGGCTCTTTTACTTAAACCTCAGAGCTGGAGGGCTTCAGAGGCCATGGAAGTGAGGGATAAATATGCCAACTCTGATTGGAAGTTCCTGCCTAGAATGCTGTAGGAAAAAATTCTGAACAGGGCTGTGGTTGACCCCCAGCTCTACTGAAGGCAGGAGAGCAGTAAGGTGTGTGCCACAAGGCAGCCCTGACCTAACATAATCCCTGCCTTTTAAGGGACTTGATCATGGCCCCCTGCCAGGGGCACAGCTGAAACTGGAGCCCAGGTCTCCTAGCTTGCCTGTCATTGTTCCTTCTGCTGCTAGAGACTTAACTCAGGAAGGAAATCCCCCAGCCTCACTCCTTCTCTAAGTGCCTTGGAGTGGCAGCTCTCTCTTGCTGGTGCACTCTCAGACTTCCGGATCCTTGGTGTGTTAGTCAGACTTTTTATCACTATACAAATACCTGAAAGAAACAGTGTAAGGAGGGAGCATTTATTTTGCTCAGCAGTTTCAGCCCACAATCAGCTGGCTTCAGTGCTGTGGGCCTGAGGCAAGGCCATGAGAGCAGGTGGCAGAGGAGGCTGTGCACCAGATGGGGAGCAGAGAGAGAGTGGAAAGGGCCGAGCACAAGGGACATCTTTCCAGGCCATGTCCCCCATGACCCACTTCCCCAACTAGGCCCCACCTCCATTAGATTATGAGTCCACCGATTAAGCACTCAGGATCCAATCATTTCCTGAAAGCCTATCAACTGGCAATCAACCTTTTTCTTTTTTTGAGAGAGAGAGAGCGAGCAAGCATCTTGCTGGCCTTGGACTTGCAATCCTCCTGCTTCAGCCTCCCAAATTCTGGGGTTACAGGTGTGTAAACCCATTCTCAGTTTAACCAAGACTTTAACACACGAGCCTTTGGGTAAAATCTCAGTTTGAAACCTATAAATCAGCCCTTAGAGACAGTAAAAAAGACAAGCCTAGGTTACCGTGATCTCTTGTTGGCAGGCACTCTTACTGCTTGAGCCACTCCACCAGCCCTACTGTCATCCGTAATCATTACACTTGATCATTTGTTTGTTTGTGACAGGTCTACGATATAGCCCAGCCTGGCCTCTAACTCTCAATCTTCCTGCCTCTATCCCCAAGTGCTGCAATTACATGCATGTGCCACCCCACTCTATTTACAGTTGTGTATAGCCTGGGATAGTCATAGACAGTCATGTTTCCAACCAGTATGACCAGCTCTGTTACTGTCTTTATGTATTACACTTATAGATGTTTAGAATGGCCGTGGTAGTGTTCTCTTCCTTCCTTCTTTCCTTTCCTTTCTTCTTGGTGGTACTAGGGATTGAACTCAGGGCCTCTTGCTTGCTAGGCAGTCACACTATCACTTGAGCCATGCCCCCAGTCCTGTGGTTTTCTGCAGTAGAATGAATCCTTAGACCTGGGGCTCTGTATGAGGAAGACCTACAGGTGTGAATGGGGCCATTCCTAATTTCTGTGGCAATAGGATATTAAGAATGGGAGAGGAAAAAGGAAACTTTGAGTTTCTTAATATGCTTCCTTCTATCAACATTTTTCCTTAGCTGGGTGCCAGTGCCTCCATAATCCTAGCTACTCAGAAGGATCATGGTTGGAAGCCAGTACCAGGCAAATAATTCACGAGACCCTATCTCAAAAAAACTCAACACCAAAAGTGGTAGAGTGCCTGCCTAGCAAGTGTTAGGCACTGAGTTTAAATCTAATACCACTCCCCACCCCAAAAAATGTTTTAAAACCCCAAAATTTTCCTTAAGTGCATCTCACCCTTATTCCCAGCCCCAGAGCTCCTGTTTTCTTCCTGTTAGTCCTGAGAGCACATTTTAGTTGACCTTTTAAGAACACAGCATTCTGCTGCATCCATATCTGCACATTCACTAGCTCTGGCTTGTGGCTTCCCACACCCTCCTAGCTGCAGGACTGCTGGGATCCCTGATCTGGGGGATGAAATGATAAGTGAAGATCATGTTCCAGGTACAGACTTGCACCACCAGGGAGTCTTTGGGGAGGAAAAGAGTCATACATAGGAGGAGATAGAGGCAGAAAAGATGGAACCTTGTCCTGGAGAGGACCAGGCACACAGGAAAGAAATAACCTCAGTCATCTGGGGACCAAAGTTTCTTAATCCAGAGAGATAGGCTGGATAATCCCAAGGTCTGCTTATACTTATGACTTTCAGTGTCCACCTACTTTTCAGCAGTGCTGGGCAGTGGCACAGGTTTCTAGTTGAATATGATCAGGCACCTCTAGAACAGCCACATCAATGAGTTCTGGGTTCAGAGAGATCCCCTCACCTCAACACAAAGTCACTTGAAAAGTCCTGATCATTTTAGCAAACTTCAAATGCTCTGCCAGGGTAGATTTTCCTTCAGACCACTTTACACAGTCTCTGAGAGGCAAAGCTGCCAGCTAGCCTCCTGGACTAATAGGCCTTCTCAGTCCCTAAGAGCTCAAAGGAGTTTTGGCTTGGCTCAGAGCTACAGAAAAGTGAGGCTGATGTGGAGGTAAGATCAGAGCAACAATGAGAAATGCAGGCATGGGGTCTGAATTTCCTTGATTTCACTGGAAACGTGCCCAGTGAGGTTATCCAGCTAGACTATGCTTCAGACCAGCATGGCAGCCCTTCTTCCTCACTTCCCCTTCCTCTCCTACCAACACTGCAATTATTTAATGGGAGGGTTCTGGGATAAAGAGAGCTGGGTTGTTGTAACAGGGACAAAATCTGCTTGCATGGGAACATGAGTGTGTGTGCACATGACTAAATGTTCATGTGATCATGTCTGCAGGTCTATGGAATTAAGATCATCAATCTAAGTATAGCCTTTTTTAATCTGACTGCAAATCTTCATCTTAAACATAAACCTAGGCATGAAACCAAGAATGGAATAAAGCAAACCAGATCTGTTGAGTCTCAAAGTGTATGTTTTTATGGCATGTCTCCAAGTTGTCTCTGTTTTTATTTTTTAAAATTATCATACAGTATAATTAACCTTTTGGTATATAAGTATATGAATTTTAACACATGTGGTAATCACTGTCACAATCAGAACCAAAACAATTCCTTATTCCAAAGATCTCCTAAGCTATCTCTTAATAGTCATTCCTTCCTCCTCCCCATCACCTGGAAACCACAGAGCTGCTCTCTTTGTTGTGTTTTTGTCTTTTTTAAAATATCATACAGATAGAATTTCATAGTATGTAACCTTATAAGGCTGGCATCTTTTACCCAGCATAATGCCTAGGAAGTTCATCCAAGCTGTTGCACACATTTGTAGTTTATTCCTTCATTTTGGTGGGTAAAAATCAATTATATGGATATTTCACAGGTTGATATTATCCATTTACCAACTCAAGGACATTTTAACTCTTTCCACTTTGGGTAATTGTGAAGAGAGCTGTTTCAAATATCTGTGTATAGATTGTGTGTGTGTGTGTGAATTGATGGCAAATGGACACACAGATTAATGGAATAGTACAGAATCTAAAAACAGACCCACACAGTCATGGCCAACTGACTTTTGACTAAGAAGTAAAGCAATTCAAGGAAGAAGTGGTTGTTGTTCCAGCAAATAGTGTTGGAATTTGCAGACATCTAATCTTCCTTCCCTGCCCACTCTCCCACAGAGGCAGCTCTGTGTCAGTGGAGAGACTTACAATGTGCTTCTAAGTCCTAGACCCACCAGCTAGATCTGTGCTGAGCTAGACATTGAATTAGTGGTAAGCCTTGTGGTTGAGATTGAGCAGGCAATGAAGAGGGTAGAGGAACTCAAGAAAATTATGGATATGGAATCAAGAAAGCATGGATGGGACCTGGAGGTAAAACAGGATGAGAAAACAAGATCAGAAAGGATGGCACAGTTGAGAACCTAGTGCCCCTGATTCTGTTAACTGCCTAGAGTTGAGCAGAAGTAGGAGAAAGATCTATTTTTTTCTTACAGAAAATAAAACTCCATTTTTCCAGAATTCTGCCTTTGGTTCTTAGGCTTTTCAGGACAGTGGTGCCACTCTATTCAAACATTAATTCTTTACTGAAGCCCAATAGCATTGTGTCTAGCACTTGAAGCTTTTACAGCTTCATTGTGTTCTTGAAATTTTTTCAGGAAAGTGTTTTCAGAGATTCCAAGATTGTG